CGTAATTTCTTTAGCTTTAGATTTTTATTTTCATTTTAGTTTTATAATGTAGTCTTCATAATCTGGATGATGCAAAGGATTTACTGGTCCTTTGTAATTCGCAATCTTGTATATGTAAGGGAGGAAAAGTTTTCCTCTACCCTTTAGATTTCCAGCTGGACCTTCGAATTAAGCTGACATAAAAACAGATTAGCAGAACAAAAACATACAACAGATACAAAGGATGGCTGCAATTTGTTTGGTTGCCCAGAAACTAAGAAAGGTGGCCATGAAGAGAAATTTCATATCAGTAATTTAAGTATCAATTCCTGGGTTGCACCTGCCATCTGTTATCATTTCTTTTGGGTACAGACTATTAAATTGAAACATGAGATCTTGGTTTTTAACTGGAATTGGATTTTTTCACATCATAAGTACATAGCATACAAGATTTCTTTTTCTTTTAGTCCTGCATTAGATGTTCCTCAGTTAACTGCATAACTTTGGGAGTTGAAAGAATCATTTTCATTCATCAGTTAGGTCTTTTGAGCCAAAGTATCTGTTATTTTTATTTATGTATTTTCTGAGACAGAGTCTTGTTCTTGTTGCCCAGACTGTAGTGCAATGCTGTGATCTCGGCTCACTGCAACCTCCACCTCCCAGGTTCACGTTATTCTCCTGCCTCAGCCTACCGAGCAGCTGGGATTACAGGTGCATGCCACCATGCCCAACTAATTTTTTGTATTGGTAGAGATGGCGTTTCTCCATGTTGGTCAGGCTGGTCTTGAACCCCTGACTGCAAGTGACCTGCCTGCCTCAGCTCCCAAAGTGCTGGGATTACAGGTGTAAGCCACCTTACCCAGCCCAGTATCTGTTAGTTTTATTACATTATAAAAGATGAACAAGTAATTTTTTTTTGAGACAGAGTCTCACTCTCTCGCCCAGGCTGGAGTGCAGTGATGTGATCTCGGCTCATTGCAACCTCCACCTCCTGGGTTCAAGTGATTCTTTCTGCCTCAGCCTCCTGAGTAACTGGGACTACACGTGTGTGCCACCACATCAACTAATTTTTGTATTTTTAGTAGAGACAGGGTTTCACCATATTGGCCAGGCATGTCTCAAACTCCTGACCTTGTGATCCACCCGCCTCGGCCTCCCAAAGTGCTGGGATTATAGGTGTGAGCCACCATGCCCAGCCTTTTTTCATTTTCTTTTTTTTTTTTTTGAGGCAGTTTTTCACTCTGTCACTAGGCCGGAGTGCAGTGGCGTGATCTTGGCTCCCTGCAGCCTCTGCCTCCCAGGTTCAGTCGATTCTCCTGCCTCAGCCTTCCGAGTAGCTGGGACTACAGGTGCACACCACCACGTTGTGGCTTTTTGTTGTTGTTGTTGTTGTTGTTGTTTTAATTATGATTATACTTTAAAGTTAGTAGAGACAAAGTTTCATCATGTTGGCCAGGATGGTTTCAGTCTCTTGACCTCATGATCCACCCACCTTGGCCTCCCAAAGTGCTGGGATTACAGGCATGAACCAACACGTCTGGCCAATAGAATTTTTTCTAAGACAGTGTGTTTAACTTTAACCATTCATGTACCATCTTCAGATCTGTCATATTCGTGTACCATTTATTCTTTTTAAAAAAAAAAAGTATGTTTACTGATTTACTGTACATTTGAATTTTCTCCCTTGCTGAATTTGATACCTCCTCTGTGCTTCTAAAACACCTGTGTATCCAGTGTTCACTTTTGCCAGTATCAATAAACTGCCTCTCTGCTAGTAGATGATCTCCTTAATGATACACTAATTATAATGTTCCAAACATTTGCCAAACATAATGCAAATAGTCACTATAAATAAAACCGTAGGCCAGGCGTGGTGGCAGATGCCTGTAATCCCAGCACTTTGGGAGGCCGAGGTGGGTAGATCACAAGGTCAGGAGTTCAAGACCAGTCTGGCCATTATGGTGAAACCCCATCTCTACCAAAAATTAACTAAAGTTAGCCAATGTGGTGGCGGATGCCCGTAATCCCAGCTCCTTAGAAGGCTGAGGCAGGAGACTTACTTGAACCTGGTAGGTGGAGGTTGCAGTAGGCTGAGATTGTGCCACTGCACTCCAGCCTGGGCAACAGCGTGAGACTATGTCTCAAAAAATAACAAATAAATAAATAAAGCTGTGATGAAAAGTGGTATATTCCTTACCTTCATCAGCTCCTGCCTTGTGAAGGAAAGAAAAAAACTTTAAATCTGTAATATATTTAGTATTTTCCTGTAGCTTTATTAATTAATCCTACTTGTTACTAATTATTTGATAAATATACCACAAATTGTGATAAGCAGTTTGGAGAAAGTACGCAGTGCTTATGAAACAGCGTAAGAGATGGACACAATTTAGACTGGGAAAGTGGGTGGAGTTATCCCTGAGAAAGTGATAGGTATCATTGTATTTTAGTTTTTCACCCATCTGGCACATAACAAATAGGGCATGGTTAGTGAGTAAACTCTAGGTAGATGGATGAGTCATTTCATAACAATTTTAGCACACAAAATTATATTCACTTCCTTCTTTTACTATTCTAGTTAAGAATGTTGAATTATTCATGACCTTAAGAGACTTCCTTTTTTGTTTTTTTTTTTTTTGGTGGGAGACATTTCTGTTTTACTGCATTAGTTCGTATTTATTACTCCTAATGTTAGAAGGGTTTTTTGATGGGAGATTTTCCTGTTTTGCTACATTAGTACATATTTATTCCACACAGGAGTTTTTTTCAGTAAACTTAACAAATATTCCAGTTATATAAGCCCCTTTCTTCCGAAATGATACTATATTAATCACCCCCACACACAAACATATTTTGGAAAATATCATTTTCACAAAAAGAAGCATGCCGTTTTTAAATTGAGATTTTCTTCTTGTTTGTATTGAAGGGAATTAAGTGAATTAATTGCTCCACTTGTAGTTCATTGTGACTTTTCTTCTTCCCCTATAATAAATTGATAACTGGCACTGAAATGATGAAATCTAGGCCAGTGAGCATGAGCCAACTGTCAGCTAACTGAGTTTATAAAAGGGATGAGATCACTAAAAATCAGGGAAACCAGCTGAGGGAAAATGGGGCATGAAATTAGGAGGCGACATGATTTCTCACCCTTCTTCCAGAAGGTAAGAAAAACATTTAAAGAAAAAAAAAGATGATTCTATCTTATCTGTCAACATCGCTTATTAAAAAATACCCACATGTTATAATATTTTATCCTGAATGTTAATCTTAGAGAAAAGTAATACTGGTTTTCAAAAGAAGTAATTTTTGTACTGATTGTGCACTTAGGGCATATTGTATTTTATCATCTACGGTGTGTTAGGGAAATTCTGTAGATTTTAGTATTTCATGAAGTAATCTGTTTTTATCCTATTAATTTATTGAAGGACTTAGAAAGTAAGCAGATGATTTGTGGAATATTGATGCAGGTCAGCCATCTTAAGCTGTTTAGTGTTGCTACATGGAAATACCTGACGCTGGGTAATTTACGAAGAGGCTTCTTTGGCTCACAGTTCTGTGGGCTGTACAGGTAGCACAATGCCAGCATCTGCTTAACTTTTGGTGAGGGCCCCAGACTGCTTCCACTCATGGCAGAAGGTATAGGGCAATCAGGATGTATAAAGATCACATGGAGAGAGAGGAAGCAAGAGAGAGATGGAGAGGTGTCAGGCTCTTTAATAACCAGTCTTGCAGGAACTAATGGAGAGAGAACCTATTCACTATGGCAAGAATGGTACCAAGCCATTCTGAGGGATCTGCGCCCATGACTCAAATCCCTTCCGTAGTTCCCACCTCCAACATTGGGGACCAGATTTCAGCATGAGATATGGAGGGGACAAACATCTAAACCTGTAGCACCAACTCTGTAACATAGCAGACAGTGGTATAAAACTTCTTTATCCCTTCACCCGCTTTTTTTTTTCTTTTTCTTTTTCTTTTTCTTTTTTTTTTTTTTTTGAGACAAGGTCTCACTCTGTCACCCAGGTTGGAGTGCAATGGTGCAGTCTTGGTTCACTGCAGCCTCCGACTCCGAGGTACAAGTGATTCATGTTCCTCAGCCACCTGAGTAGCTGGGATTACAGGCATGCACCACGGCACCCGGCTAATTTTGTATTTTTTTTAGTAGAGATGGGGTGTCACCATGTTGGCCGGGCTGGTCTTGAACTCCTGACCTCAAGTCATCCACCCACCTCAGCCTCCCAAAGTGGGATTATAAGTGTGAGCCACCGCACCGGCTCCTTCACTGCTTTTGCTGCATTTATGATGAGGAGAAGTGCCAGTAGTGGAAAGAGCAAAAGTCTGGATACCAGCCATAAAATTAGATTTAGGCCTATTACCCCAGGCCAGTCACTTAACCTCTGTAAGCTTTTGTAGACATAAGAGGAGAATAGTGGTACCTACCTCAGAGACCTTATAAAGTATAAAATTTCATCAAAGATCAAATAAGATAAAATGCTTTCCTTAAATGGGAAGGAGATACTATGTTAATGCAACATTGTATTACTGTTGTTTGTTGTTGTTTTGTTGGCTTTTATGTTGTTTAACTCATTAGCTGTGGTTTCTGTTATATCTATTATCACTCTATTAGAAAATCTGTTTTGTAGCAGACAATGTGTCTCTAGGATTTGGTTTTAAATTTAGCACCACCTTTTCCCTATTTAGATGAATAACTGCTGTGTTATCTGTAATAGACCTTAGAATGCTTTAGCCTTATGTATATTCCTAGGTGTTTAATATTGCCATATTTAAGATACAATAAAATTAAAAGAACCAATTAAGTTAGGAGATGGGATTTCCAAAAGGCACGAAGCAAATGTCCAAGAGGAACAAAAGTCTTTTGGTTATGGTTTAGTTCAAAATTTGACACCTCCCCCCCTTTACAATAGTTCTATAATGCTGAATATTTTTCTACCCAGGACACGAGACTTTCTATTGTTATTGAACAAAATATCAGTGAAATACTGAATTCTATTCTTTTTCTACAGTGCCTCCAAAGCCATTACACCTGCAGAATTCACCTTCGTCCAATATACACCAAACCCCCAAGCATAAAGCTTTACCTAGTGCAAAACCAAGGATGGAGGAAATTAAACCTGCCTCTGCTTCTTGTGTCTCAAAAGAAAAACCCAGTAAAGTATCAGATCTCATCAGTCGCTTTGAAGGAGGCAGGTAAGAGCTAATTTACAATGGGAAAAGGCAGGGGAAGAAGAAAGCTGATTTTCAAAACAATGATAGTTACAGGTTTTCTAAATAAAAAGCATAGAGTATCTTATTCCATTAGGTAGGCCTTTAGAAAAGGTGAATTTTTAAAACCAATGACTTAATCTTGCCCTAATATGAACTGTCATTTACAATGTTATTACCTATGTACAGCACTGTAGGCCACCAGCTTTTTCATGAAGTCGTGTGCTTTTGTTATCTGTGTGCCTTCTCTTGTTGCCCCTGTATCTCTGTGTGTCATTCTCTATGTGCTGCTCCTTGTGGGTCATTCTGTGGGACACTGGATTTCTGGGTTGGAAAGGCTGAGCAGTGGCCTCTGTCTCTTCGTTTCTCCCTTTACATGTTCCTGAATGTGACCCCTGTGTGCTTGTCTCCTCCTTGGGCCCTCTCTTCTTTCTGACCCATTTTATTTAATGTGGATCTTCTATACCTATTCAGTCTCTGTTTCTTCTGTCCACATACTCCATCATACTGTAGGTTTTTAAAGAGATATTACCAATAGCAAAATGTGTGTTAAATTTCAGCTTTATATGTATTCTTTAGTCCCAGTGTTCTAAAAAACAAGATAGGTGAAATATTGTATTTCTCATTTTTAAAGATAAACAGAAACCCACTTAAAATGCTTTTCCCCTTCTAAAACTCTCATTTATTTATTTTTTTTAGTCTTTTGATAAAAAATTTCATTGCTGACTTAAATACAATTTTTAAAAAATTTATCAATAGGATTTTATTATCTGCCATCAAAAGTCTATATATAATAAACAGAATGTATGTAACTTCACTTTTATCCTTGAAACCAAATATTTTCATTCCAGTGTAATATTTGGGACTTGTTTCCTATTAGGGTGATTTTATTATTTATTTGTGAGATTTACTGTTACTTATGTAATGAAATTATAACATGGAAATAGTTTGAGTATCTTCTGGGAATTGTGACCAAGCACAAAACCTGCAGTGTCCCTCATTTTTAAAATGGGTCTCACAGATGGTGGCTCTTCCTATCAATTTCCTGTAAACAACTCAGAGCCTCCCTCTATTTTGCAAAGTTACAGGTTCTGGAGAAAATTAACTTAGAAGCCTCTTCAAATTGTAGGAACTTTGGTCATAAATATTTAAACTTCAGCATCTCCTCCTCTGAAGTAGGATTTACAAGACCTTTGCTGTCTTGGATTACAGTGATCTTTACTAGAATGGTTTAACTCCATTTAAAACATTATTTTTGCTGCTCGGAGTTAAGTTGACTTAATAACAACAAAGTGACCCCTCGTGTTTGCAAATTCCAGGGGCCATGCCTTGTGACTGCGTAATAGAAGGAGGGGCTGGAGCCCTCACTTAATAACAACATAAGCATGTCAGAGCCTGCATCCCTAGGTTTCAGGGATAACTTTCTGAAACCTTAAAAGGATCAGTATTCCAAAGGCTGCATCCTCTCATCCTCGCCGTTTTGGTTAACCCACTCTGCATTGTTTTAGATTCCTCTACATGTGAAATGTTTATACTTTTTCCACCTGATGTTTTTTAATCATTCAAGCTTCACAAATTCAGTCCTGTTTTCATGCAAAGGTTGAAGTTTTAATTCATCTAAGGAAAAATATGCTATGATTTATGATTTTTTTAAGCAAGTTCTGTACAAATTGGGTATAGTGTACTTTGACAGATCAGGTGAAGAAATATTATTTGTGGCAGAGTCCATTGCCAATATGAAAAACAGTGATGTGTTCTCGGTAAGGTATTACCACTACAGACTGGCCCCAAAAGTGTGTGAGTGGGTTAATACTACATTGGATCTATAGAACTTCAGTACAAGATTTGTATTTACTGTTGAGTGATGCCTTTGTCTTTGCAAGGGTCATTTTCCGTTTTAGCCCTCCTTGTGAGAGCTTAGACTAGCTTTGTAAACTAGAGGGAGGTTCTTAGTTGTCACAGGAAATTGATAGGAAGAACCAACATCTGGTAGAGTTTAGTCATAATGGTCATATTATACTGTTATTAAGACTTTACATGGCTGGATGTGGTGGCTCATGTCTGTAATCCCAGCACTTTAGGAAGCCATAGTGTTGGATTGCTTGAGCTCAGGAGTTTGAGGTCAGCCTGGGCAATATGGCAAAACCCTGTCTCTACAAAAAATACAAAAATCAGCCAGGCATGGTGGTGCACATATGTGGTCCCAGCTACTTGGGTGGTGCACGCATGTGGTCCCAGCTACGTGGTTCTTCCTGACCTGGAAGGATTGCTTGAGCCCAGGAGGTCAAGGCTGCAGTGAGCTGAGATTGTGGCACTGCACTCCAGGCTAGGTGATGGAGTGGGACCCTGCCTTAAAAAAAAAAAAAAAAAATTCCAGGTAACACCATTTTGTTAAGATGAGAGATTGGGAGCAAGTAGATTTTCTTTAATTTTTACTGTGGTTTTCTTTCTTCTTTCTTTTTCCTGTTCCTCTTTATTTCTCTTTTTCAGAGTAAAAGAGAGTACTCTTTGTAGCCGAGGAAAGACTTTAAGATTTTAGAAATAAGATTATGTTTCTGTAGACCTGAATATTGGTTTTTACCATGGATACTCCAAGGTCAGCTATTTTCCCTTATGGTTTGGCATCCACAAAGCAGCAGGAATCCAAGTACGGGTTCAACTACTGCTTTTACTAACTTCTTACCCACCTAGTGCTTCCCTGTCTCCTTCCCTCCCTCCCACTCATACCCTTGATGTTACTTATTATGAGACATTTGCAGCTCTCATTCAAAGCCACCCTTTAGACAAGATCTGAAAATGCTTAAATTTGTTTCAGAGGATCTGTTGAGGATCTTTCCACCAGGGAACCCAGAGACCGATGTGGGCAGGAGGAGGACAGTTTGATTAAAATCTCTAAAAACTACTTGGGAAATTAGCTAGGCCAAATATATCCTCTTCTAGGGGGCAAATCTCAATTCAAGAATGTATAACATTTAAATATTGCCCACCTCCACGGATCGAGGTCAGAATATCAAGACCATCCTGGCTAACATGGTGAAACCTAGTCTCTACTAAAAGTACAAAAAATTAGCCAGGCGTGGTGTCACACACCTGTAGTCCCAGCTACTTGGGAGGCTAAGGCAGGAGGATCGCCTGAACCTGGTGGGCAGAGGTTGCAGTGAGCTGAGATCGCACCTTTGTACTCTAGCCTGGGCCACAGGGCAAGACTCCATCTAAAAAAAACAAAAACAAAAACAAAAACAAAAAAAAACTGCCCACCCCCACCTCCAAGTTTTATATATATGACATTTTCCCCTTCTCAGTTTATCACTTTCTTTCCTCTGGTGTTGGACTTTCCCTGTGTCTTTTTTCCTCCCTCATCACTTTCTTGCTGTCTACTTTTATTCCCTGTTTCATGCTCCAGTCCACATCAGCAGTGACTGGGAAGGGTGGAGTAAAAGCGAAGGTGACACATCTGAGCATTGTCCTTGGGTGCTCCGGCCTGCAGAGCAACAGACAGGAACCCGGGCAAACCTATCGTGGATGAGAAGGGATGGGACAAGAGGCGCGAAGAATGGCAGCAAGACAAAAGTTCTGATCAAGCTGCAAAATTTATTTCAAAATGGGTTCCTTATATAGAGAGGGGAGAGGGGAGGGGAAAGTGGCTCTGATAGGTTGAAAAGCGAGTGCTCAGCTTGTGATCAGCAATCCCATTGGTGCAGCCGCACGTGATCAGCAATCCCATTGGTGCAGCCGCACGTGATCAGCGATCCCATTGGTGCAGCCGTGCGTGATCTTTGGTGGCCCGCCACCACGTCCGTGGTATGCTTCTGGCGGGAGGCTGATGCAATCTTTTGCTTTGATTGCAGCAGCTTAGCCTGGGTTCCCAACACTTGGGACCGGGCTGCTTGCTGTTTCCTTCCCCACCTCCCTTTATTCCATTACCTGCACTGGGGAAGATAATCAGCCCTAGACTTTCTTCCCACATTTTGACTGCAGCCTATTCACCTGATGCTCATTCTGTCCTTCTGCTCCAGGACATCCTAACGTGGGGTGAAGACCATGGGATTTAGAGTTGGATTCATGTTTGAGCTCTGTCTTTTCTGCTTGTTACCATGTGACACTGGCCACATTAATTTTCGAAGCCTAGATTTCTCTGTGGGATCCCTGTCTTTGGAATTATTGTGAGGATGAAACAAGTTAATTATTGTTAAGGGGCTTCTTGTTGTTTGTGGTTCTTAGTAAGCACTTAAGAAGTGTTTCCGGCTGTTATTATTGTCATAATCATCATCATTATCATGGTTATTCAAAGCTCATCAGCTATTCATTGAGTACTTCCCTTGTGTCAGGCACCATGCTAAGAGGTAGGAATAAAGCAGGGAGCAAGTCTGCCCCCTCACCGAGTTAGTTGCTTTATTTCTTCTCATTTAGGTCACAGGAATCTTTTTTTTTTTTTTTTTGAGACTGCGGAGTTTCGCTCTTGTTACCCAGTCTGGAGTGCAGTGGCACGATCTCGGCTCACCACAACCTCCACCTCCTGGGTTCAGGCAATTCTCCTGCCTCAGCCTCCTGAGTAGCTGGGATTACAGGCACGTGCCACCATGCCCAGCTAATTTTTTTGTATTTTTAGTAGAGACGGGGTTTCACCATGTTGACCGGGATGGTCTCGATCTCTTGACCTCGTGATCCACCTGCCTCGGCCTCCCAAAGTGCTGGGATTACAGGCTTGAGCCACCACGCCCTGCAAGGTCGCAGGACTCTTTGAACTTGTAGCCCAGAGTTTTGTGTTCCATTCCCCCACTCCCAGAATCCTAAATTAAAATCTATACAAATATTTCTGTAGGAATATTGTTCTATATTGGGAGTAAGTTTCATTCTCCTATTAGGACTACTATTATGTCAAGCAGTAATAAGGACTTTAAAGAAAAATAAAATAAGATGTGGAGTTAGTGATGGAGAGTGCTGTTAGTTACAGATAGGTGAATCTAGGAAAGCCTCTTTGGAGAGGTGTTATCTGAGCAGAAACCCGAATGGTGAGAAGGAATACCAGTGTTTTGGGGGAGACTGGCCTAAACAGAGAACAGCAGCTGCAAGGACCCCAAGACACATGTACTTGGTCATTAAGAATGGGGAGCATCAAGGAGTATGGCAACGACACAGTTACAGAAGAATGGAATCTAATGAGGCCAGGCACTTCAGGAACTAGAGTATGTAGAATCTCATAGGCTGTCTTTGGACTTTAGTTTTCCTCCGAGTGTTATGAGGAAGCCCTCAGAGTTTTGTGACTGACTTGCAGAGGTTCTGTTGTAGGAGATCAGAGTAGAAACAGAGACCAGTTAAAAGGCTATGGCGCATGAATAAAAAAGTTTTGAGAGTATGCATTATGCCTTCCAGATAAAAGTAACTTGTTGGTTCATAATTTGTTCATAAATTAAGGACTGGTTACACCTATTTAAAAATGTTAGGAAAGATCAGTAAGTAAAAATGTTAGGAAGAAATTATTTTATTAAATGTAAGTATTATATCTAAGTCTTTACCAACTAGTCACGTTATTAAACAGTACAAGGATCAAGAAAAGTTAAGTGTTGAATAAATAAATAAATAAATAAATAACCCAAGGAAATGTTTCAGTCCCCATAGATAGAGCTCAGGGTCATCTTCTTTATTTAAATGTTTATTTAAATGTGGATAGCACCCAAAGAGATGTGGGACTACACAGAGAGTATTCAAATCTATGTTTCTAAAACCATCAGAGATAGAAAAAAAAAAATCAGCAACTGTTCCTTTTCAACTGGAATATACTTGTCTTAATTATAGAACTTTTCCATGCCAATGTTTTCATGCTTCCTTTGTATTTTATCTTTTAGCTCATTATCAAATTATAGTGATTTGAAGAAAGATTCTGCTGTGAACTTAAATGTTCCTAGAACCCCAGGAAGGCATGGATTGACAACCACACCTCAACAAAAACTCCTGTCCCAGCACTTGCCACGGAGGAAGGGCCATGATACAGATCAGACTCAGGATGCACAGACTTGTGTGGCCAACGGTGTGATGGCAGCACAAAACCAGATGGAATGTGAGGAGGAGAAAGCTGCCACTTTTAGCCCAGATACTTCTATTCAGGCTTCTGAACCCTTGCTTGAAACGCACATAGTGAATGGAGAAAGAGATGAAACTGCCACAGCTCCTGCATCACCTGCAACAAATGACTGCGATGGAAATGCTTCTGACAGTAGCTACAGGACTCCAGGCATAGGTCCAGTGCTCCCCGTAGAAGAAGGAGGGGCAGAAACTGAAGCCAAGGTACAAGAGAGGGAAAATGGGGAAAGCCCTCTGGACCTGGAGCAGCTGGACCAGCACCATGAGATGAAGGTACAGCAGGAGACTAGCTCATAAGCGGGGAAACCCCTGTCTACTCAATTGTTGTCTTAAAACTCTTTATTTATTGCACCTGTGCAATGTATCAAAAAGATCACCCACACTGGCAGTTAAATGATTTTCAAGCTCTGGCAGCTGATGAGTGTTTCCCCTATGCTCTAAGCAGGTATTTCACTTTTTCTTTTTGTGTAGTTTCTGTTACTGTCTCTGTTTTAATTTCCGGAGTCAGGACAGTGTGGAAACTTTAATATAGGAAATCCACAAATACGTTGTTTTTATATAGAAAGAAAATGTTCCTTGGTATTGGTGCTGTATCCCTAATACTTATGGGCCAAGCAAGAAGAAATAATCTTTGTTGTTCAGAAGTTTCTTTTTTTTTTTTTTTTTTGAGATGGAGTCTTGCTTGCTCTGTTGCCCAGGCTGGAGTGCAGTGACACAATCTCGGCTGCAAACTCCACCTCCTGGGTTCGAGCAGTTCTTCTGCCTCAGACTCCCGAGTAGCTGGGACTACAGGCGTACACCACCATGCCCAGCTAATTTTTTTGTATTTTTAGTAGTGATGAGGTTTCACCGTATTGGCCAGGCTGGTCTCAAACTCCTGACCTCGTCATCCACCTGCCTGGGCCTCCCAAAGTGCTGGGATTGCAGGCGTGAGCCACTGCACCCAGCCCAGCAGTTTCTCATAGAATAAATTGTAGCCCTGTAAGATGAACCTGCCACTAGTAAATGTTACTTATAAGGACATGAATATGGAAGTATTAAATTATTCAACAGATTATAACCCTTTCTAGGCTTTTAGTTTTTTTAAGTTTTCTAATTAATACCCAATATTACAATCAGTGGTATAGTCTTTGAGTTCAAAGGCCATTTAAAAATCATTTTAGAGCCAGGGGGCAAGGCAGGAAGAGCTCCTCAGCCCAGTAGTTCAAGACCAGCCTGGACAACATGGCAAGGCTCCATATCTACAAAATTTTTAAAACTTAGCAGAGCATGATAGTTCACACCTGTGGTCCCAGCTACTTGGGAGGCTGAAGTGGGAGAATTGCTTGAGCCCAGGAGGTCAAGGCTACAATGAGCCATGATCATGCCACTGCACTCCAGCCGGGCCAACAGAGCAAGACCCTGTCTCAAAAAAAAGAACAAAGAAAAGAAAAAACATCTTAGTTTTGTAGTTATAGAAGAAGAGTTTTTGCAAGGTCACACTGCTTTTTGAGTATTAGCTCACAACCCTCATGCTGTGACTCCCAGGCCAGTGTTGTGTCTCTGAAGCAACGAGAAATGTCAGTCAGTGAAGCAGCCATGGGAAATAAATTGTGGAATTGTTGAGAACTGGGCATTTCTATCCTTTCTTAAGAGGGAAGTTATTTGATGAACTGCCTGGATGGTGTTTCTGCCCATGTGCACAATGTCGACTAAGAAATAGTTGATTTGTGGTGAAATATATACTGACTCTCAGGGAGAGAAAGTTTAAAGAAGGAAGTGGGTGGAAGAAAGTGAGTTATACTTGGTAACATGATCTGAAACAGTAAAGAAACAGGACATTGCAAAGTGAATTTCTATACCTCGATACAGCGATAAGAGTTTAGTATGTTTGAACCATGACGGAAGGAAGAGGTGGTTAGAACCAAGAAAATCTTTTACCACTGTTGGGATGATGGCACCAGCAAGTATATGTGAAATAGTAAGCTGTTCATATAAAGGAAAATATAATTGGGGATGATGCCTGTGGTTGTTGGATGGTACTTTTTCTTGCCTGTCACGTATTATTATGGATTCATTTTCATAGATGAATCTTCTATGGGAGAGATTTTATAGAATTTTCCTATTAAACTAGTGAAACATAGACTAGTACTACTGGCGTGTCTCCTGAATGGGCCTTTACACAGTAGGTGACACATGCTGTACGTGGGAAGAAAAAGCAGATTTTCTTTGCAGAGCTGTTGATGTGAACACCGTATCTCTTCTGTTAAAATGGAATGTTAGGATTTAGTATCTGTGCTGTGGCAGTATGTTCACCTTTGCTGCTCTGATGTTTGATATGTTGTCTTTCCTTGTTCCTAAATGAAAACATAAATGTTAGTAGTGTTAAGATGGTAAATTTTATTAGGTGTATTTTACCACAATTTTTTTAAAAATCTTAAAAATGTTAGTAGTCTATAGTGGACCAAACAATTAGAACAAATCACAATTCTACTTCTGGCTTGTTCATTAACTAGCAGCATGAGCTTGAACACGTCAATAATTCTTTGTGTGTTTAGCGAAAGAATCTAAACTGCATATAATCTTAAGGCCCTATCTTCATGTTGTAAAAGCCCCCCCACCAAAAAAAAAAAAAATCTTAAGGCCCATTTCAGTGATTATATTACTAATTCTCTGCTGTGATATGTAGGTATATTCCCTTGTTAGCATAGCCCACCAGATTATCAGCTGCTGTGTGAACTGCCTAATGTGTTGAACTTCTAAGATATAATGGAATATTTTTAGTTTCAGTTTGCAGACAACTGAAAAACTTTAATCTTCCTGGAAGTGGATATGGATATTGACCTCAGAATAGTCTTAAGTATGTTTCATTTAAGCTGGTGTTAGATTTAATAGGCATTTCCCAAGTGCCCATAGGAGTGGGGAAATGTGAAGGGATAGGGAATGAAAGTAGAGCAGCTAGGCACCATGGCTCACGCCTTTGACCCCAGCACTTAGGAGACCAAGGTGGATGGATTGCTTGAGTCCAGGAGTTGGAGACCAACCTGAGCAGCATGGCAAAACCCTAAAAATCTCTACTAAAAATACAAAAAAATTAGCTGGGTGTGGTGGCGTGTACCACTAGCTACTTGGGAGGCTGTGGTGGGAGGATCGCTTGAGCCTAGGAGACGGAGGTTGCAGTGAACTGAGATCTCACCACAGCACTCCAGGATAGGTGACAGAGTGAGACCTTGTCTCAAAAATTATATATACACACACATACACACACACATATCTTAAAGGCAGCTTTTCTTTATTCACCTAGAACTGAATGGTGACCTCAGAAAGTTATTTTTTGTGGCTACTCAGTTTACTATGTTCATAATATAAGAAGGAAAAATTGTGAAAAAATTGAACTGTTCAATTAAAAAATTCAGTGTGCCAGGCTCACTCTCCTGGGCACCAGAAACACAGAAATGAGCTAGACAAGCCCTATCAACAAAGCCTCAGTCTACTGAGGAATGAGAGACATACATAAATTGACATTGGATGGTGCAGTAAAAGCTTTGGAAATACAGATGACCGGGCCAGGTGCAGTGGCTCACACTTGCTGTCCCAGCACTTTAGGAGTCTATGGCCGAGGATCTCTTGAGCCCAGGAGTTTGAGACCAACCTGGGCAACAGGTAAAACCCTATCTCTACAAAAAATTTAAAAGTTCACTGGGTGTGGTGGCACTTGCTTGTGGTCCCAGCTACTTGGGAGGCTGAGGTGGAAGGATTGCTTGAACCGAAAAGGTCGAGGCAGCAGTGAGCTGTGATTCTGCTACTTCACTCTGGCCTGGGCCCACAGAGCTAAGACCTTGTCTCAAAAAAAAAAAAAAAAAAAAAAAAGAAATGCAGATGAAGAAACAGTTGTGCCCCAGGAGTACTATTTGAGGACCAGGCTGCTGAGAAGCAGTTGAAGTAGGCTTGAGGCAAGGGTGGGAAATTGCTAGGTGATCAAAGATAGACTGGGATGGGGATGAGTGAAAGTGTGAGCAGTGAGCAGAGGCAAGAGAGTAGGTGCTGCATGTGGGGAACTATTTCTATAACCATGTAATCAGAGGTCAGAATGGCTAGCAAAATGAATCTAGAGGTGCAAGCTAGATTTAAAAGAGTAAGCTAAGAACAGACTGCAGTGGGCTTTTGAATGCCTATTAAAAATGTAAATATTTTTTTCCTGAAAACATTAGAGACTTTTTTTTTTAAAGTTTAAAAATCTTAAAAGGTTTTTAAAACCTTTTAAGTTGCTAAGAGTTTACAATTTTCATTGAAAAAATAGGAAAATTGGCAAAGCATACACACGAAAAACCACACCCATAATTCTACTAGTGAGAATTGCTTAGTTATTTAATATTCTGGCTTGTTTTTCTGAGCTGTTTGAAAAAACATACTTGATCACATAATGTATGATCCCTCTGTATCCTGTTTTGTTGGGTTATACATAGGTATTTCCTTCATATCAATTCAAACTTTCCATAAGCCTAATATTATCTGGCGTCAGGAACACTTAATTAAAGCATGGAAGTGACATGATGACACATGTGTGGGTTTTTTGAAAAATGAGTCAGATGAAAGGGAAAACAGATGGAGCAGGGCACGCAGTTAGGAAGCAACTGCACTAGTCCAGGTACGAGATGTGAAGGGGGCCCAGAGGAGGCAGAAGGTGAGAGACAAGAAAGATTTTGAGGACCTTGTGGCTAGATGTAGGGATTAAGTCAGGTTCAACTCCTAGGCTGGATGAATTGGCAGATGGTGTGCCATTGAATGAACTACAAGAGAATGGAAGGCAAAACCTATTTTGTGGGCAAAAAAGTAAGTTATATTTTGACATACTGTATTCAGGAGCTTATTGTAAGTCCCCAGGTGTAGATGTCTTACAAAAATAGAACATTCTGGGGGTGTGGTGGCTCATGCCTGTAATTTTACCAGGACTTTAGGAGGCCAAGGCAGGTGGATCAACTGAGGTCAGGAGTTTGAGACCAGCTTGGCCAATATGGTGAAGCCCTGTCTCTACTAAAAATATAAAAATTAAGCTGGGCATGGTGGCAAGCACCTGTAGTCCCAGCTACTCAGGAAGCTGAGGCAGAAGAATTGCTTGAACGCTGGAGATGGAGGTTGCAGTGAGCCTAGATTGCGCCACTGCTCTCCAGACTGGACAATAGAGTGAGACTCTGTCTCAGGAAAAAAAAAAAAAAAATATATATATATATATATATATATATATATATATGTATATATTTATACTTATATTCTGGAAGCATTACAGTTTGTTT